AGCGCATTGGCTTAAGAATATACTTAAATATATTATATACGGGGTGATTCATCAAGCATGCTCATCCCCATATTCTTTCCTTTAATAATGAATTTATTGAAATTCTGATGTTTTGGAATTTTTAAGTAGGTATTACTTTAACTTATACTTATATTTAATTAACTATGTTTTTCTAACACATACATTTGTTGTAATTAAAACGAAATTTGAATTTGTGTTCTAATTGTAATAATATAGGTCCATGATAATACAGGTTTAGATGATATGAGGGGGGCTCGATGTGGTGATTCTACAATTACATAGTAATTAATATTAATCCTATCAACATTTTATAATTTATATACATTTTCTAAATATAATAAATGCTTTAACCAATATTTCAAATTTTTGGTAAAACATTTTTTAGTCATATTTTTCTTTGTATAATATAATAGTTTGAATAATTCAGAAACTATTCGTTTAAATTTTGATTTGAATACTCGCATGAAAATGTTCAATAAATCATCCGTTTCATAATTTACAAAAAAAAAAACTTGGTTTTATTTGAAAAAAATAATTATGTATCGTGCCACGGGACACTCCTTGATAATACAGTTAATAATGATGTAAAAAAGTATTTTTAATAAGGTTCTTAAGTAAAACTTCAAAAATCGGAATTTGAATAAATCAATAAATATTAAATTATCAAAAGAAAACATGGTGGTGAGCGTGCCTCATATTGTGTCGTATAAGTATCAATCTAACTATACCAAGTATTAAGTCTGCAGTTGACGGGTTTTACGGGTCTCATAAAGAAAGGGAAAAATGAATATTTTTTGCTCATGCGTCGCCGTCGTTCGCATATACGTACATTTATGTTTATGCGATTGTATATTAAATGATATTGCGTTTATAATCAAAATATTCGGCGACAAAGTTTTTTTTTCGGTTGCTCAACCGATTTTTTTCCCCAGTAACAGTAATAATAAGTTATGCTTTTTGGAATGCGTATTCAAATCCTCCCCGTTCTCGTAAATACCAATGGGCCTCTCGAGACATGCCGGCTAAACGTAAAGGAAAAGAAAAAACCATTCACCCATAATGGTAGTCCTATATATTTTTTTCTTCTTCAGAAAAGCACACGAATTTGGAAGGTGTAATGTAGATAGTTTTTTTTTTTTATCGTAACCGCTACAATGCGGTGACAATTTCTTATAGAAGCGTATCAACAAATCGGTGTTGACTATTCGATTACCGAACTATATATATATATTTGTAAGTCTGTCCACATTCACCGAGAAGTAGATAAGAATAAATAACGTTAGAATATGGTTTTATTCTTATTTATATATACCTATATAATATATATATATATATATATATACACTATATAGCCATATATAGGTATATATAAATATTTTATCGTTTACAGCAGGGGTGGTATAGTTTTTTTCGGGAGCGATCGACCGGCAGCAAATATTTTGTTCAAAAAGTAAGCTTAAAATTTTTTTAAGTATACGTCTCTATAGCTGCTTAACGGTAAAAATGATTGACGAGTGGTGTTATGTGGCGGAACGGAAACATTAAAATATATATGTGTAATATACTAATATTCTGGATGATAATACGTTTCCAATAAATGTCCATGTACGTATCCAGCGTTTGGTTACCCCTGGTTTATTTAGGTAGTTTGTCACTTGAGTATTCAATAAGGTATGAATACATTGCTCCAATAGGTGCATGTATAAGAGAAACATTTTAATTGAACCGTTGTGTTTGGTATTAACCTTAAATTATCTATAAGGACGTACCTACCTTCTTTACTATAATTTTATTTATAATAATATACCTCGTACTTACATATAATATAATAATTTACTATATGTTATGTGTGTTCTTTGGTAATCAGCTACGAAAATGTTTTATTTTGATTAAAAATTAATTTTATTCTATACGAAACTAAGCTAAAATCTTTTTAAAACTTAATTATTCATTCACACTTGATTAATTTGTTTAAACCCTTTTATATGAAAAAATGTTAATTTATGTATTGGATGCAAAAAAAAGGTTACTTAATATATTGTATTTTTAACTATCAGAATAAGTAATTTGTGTTCTCAGAAGATACTATCAATTGTTAAATATTGTTCTAGTACATTATGTTCGTGCTTATAATAATAATTAATTATTGTATAATTTCGTATTATCAAATTTTTCAAAATCCACGTTCTTTAAATGGGTTTTAGTTCATATATATTTATTACATAAAATGTATTTTGTCAATTTCAAAATCCAATAGTAATAACTGCGTATAGAGGATTTATTATTATTATTTTTTTTTTTTTTACTCGTTTTCAAATACGCTTCGACACAGCCGCTGTCATGTGTAAACCTTTTTTTTTGTATGTATATATTATATTATATTTTGTTGTACGATGGTGATGGGTACGACGAGGTTTGGAATATTTGACGACACTGTGCGTTGTCAGTTCACGTGCCCAACATCATGTCACTGAAGTTTAATACAAAAAGAGAATTTTTTGGTACAACAAATAAATATTTTATATTTAACACGGGATTTCTTAGCGTGAGACAACGGTCATTGTAATATTAATATCAAAGAACATTTTTGATAACAATTTTAATAGTACCTATATGTACCTATAGGTACCTAATGCTGTATACAACTAACAACTTCTTTATACAACTAAATTTTTGCAAAAATATTAAAAATATTCTTTATTACTCTCTATAGCAATACTTATTTTTCTGAAAATATTAGGTAAAGTATATCTTGTAGTGGTTCCCAATATGGGCTCCTTGGACGCCTTGGGTAACCAATTGATCTTCACGGTGGTGCCACAGAATATTATTCTTTATAATAAATTTTAAAATATAATAATATGACGGCGGCTTCATTTAATTAGTCATAGTTTGACTAAAAATTACCTTGGTTAAAAAAGAGTGCCCCGAGTTGATCAATTTTGTCAACCACTAAAATTTTATAAATTATAAGTCTATAGAAATAGAGTGTCAAGGTAGGATTAGTACCTGACGTATTATTGTTTGCTACCATTGTGATCAGCTTGACCGCTCATCAAAACATTAAATGCTAATAAATAATAAACCATATTTACTCAATAATATTAAATATGTATAAGTGCTATCGAGTATCCATTTTTATTTAAACTAGTTTTAATCTACCTGCAGAATATGAACTTTAAAATGTGGGTAGCCGTTTAAAATATTTATTAAACCTAAAAACGTATTATGTTTAAAAGTACCTATGTACCAAAAAATTTTGCAAAAACCCAGTGTTGTAATTATGAATAATAGTGCATACTTCAAGCTGTTGGAAAACATTTTTGTTCTTCCAAAAAGAGATAAAATAAATCGACCGAGAAAATATGAGTGTATAGTCTTACTAGGAAAAAAATAACCTTGTATATATCAATTTAGAGTATGAAAGCAGCGCCCAACAGATATGACAGGCTGGGTTAACACAGTAGGTATTATTATTATTATTATTGTTTTGTATCCTGTTCGCCGCGGTTGTAATATTATGTTCGGCTCGCTATCGTAAATGTAATAGTGTATATATTTTCATATAAAATTGAACGGCGCCGCGAAAAACCAACAACACTCGCGTAACAATATGCCCTCGTGGAAAATAATGAAATGGGTAAATAAAACGGGAAAAATGATTAAAACGTAATTTATTAAAACGAAAAAAGCTATTCGTTATGAGAGCGAAATGGGATTCTGAAAAGCTGTCGCCATCGGCGGCAGCGGTGCGCTCTGTGCAAACGCCATCGTAATATTAATATTTTCCACGTCGAGTGGGGAACCGATTGCGTTTGTTTTTGGGTAAGTCGACGGATTTAATTGTTATACGATATGGCGTAGTCCGCCTGCAGTGTATTTATTTTTACAGTGCGTTTATAATATTTATATTGTACTTTTCAGTCGATTTAGACATAGTCCGTTCGTAAAAGTCGCCTTCATATATGTACGATTTCATTTCGTTCTTCGTTCTCCCGAAGTGATAGGTTTTTTTCTAAGAAATAAATGTATTATTAAATTCCAAAATAGTATTTTTCTCACGTGAAATAAATTTAACGTCTCACCATGCATCTAAGCATTATAATAGGTACTATATTGTAAATGGTATATGCATTTTTTGTTCGTTTCATTGTGTACATTAATAATAATAATAATAATAATAATACTTCAATTACCTACCTTGTCATCTGTTTCATACAGATTTAAAAAAAAAAAAATGAAAAATACCTATTTACTATCCATCCGAGGGACGATAAACGCTGTATAATTATATAATATTACATAATAATGTGGGTAATAGTTTTAAAAAAACGTCAAAACCAATGAAATGTATTCATATTAAATAGTAGGTACGGATACATTGTATTTTATGTTTTTATATACTTAAACATAATTTTATATAATAAGCAAACCTGTCGTCGAGTGCGATGTGTGACATTATTATTATTATTTGCCTACTACTACGAAACTACAATCACGTGTATAGATAGTCCCAGAACTGGCAGAACTTGTCTTTTTACCGGTCGTGGCTGAAAAGCTACATCTCAAACTGATTGTCCCAGATGTACATGTTGGTACATGCTCTATATTACATTATTATATAATAATATTATCAGGGTTTCTACGAGCCCAACCAGAAACACAGCTCTTTCTCATATCCCCGTGAATTCCTCTATCTATATGTTTCCAATTTTTCATTTTTCCATATATTGAGGCTTTCCTGTCCTTTTCTATTAATTAAAACATTTAACATTCATCTAACCATTGCTTCTACTATTTTTTTATTATGAAACCGTGTTATTGTTGAATATTGTGAATGTTATTTATATAAGTGTATATAGTACCTATATATACAAAATAGTCATTGTTCGTAAAGCTTAGGTACCTACTCGTGACATTTTTATATACATAAATAATATAAGTGATGAAAAAAAATCAAGTCTCATAAAAATCAATAAAAGGTTTTAATATTATGCAATACTGCAGGTATCCACGTCGACTTTACATAAATATCGAGGTTAACATGATTTTATGAAATTCTTATAAGTGAACAATAGCGCACCCTGCACACGACAATGCAACGATATCACAGCACGTACGGTATGATGGCTTTCCTTTCTCGGGGGTAGTCCCGGAACTTGTCCTGGTACCACCGGTGGCTGATGAGCGCTATCTCGAACTGATTTCCCCACACGAACGCGATCACGTACTTCCATCCGGTTCCACCCCACAGCACAGCGTACCAGGCGCCATACATGATCACCTCGGTGAGCATCTGTGGGCTAGACACGAGGTCGAACAGTCCGCCGGTGAGCATGATGTGCTCGTGCGTGACCACCTGGCCACCACGCTTCCGGGCCTCGGCCAGAGCCACATTGGCTCGCCACTGTTCACGGTACGCCCAGGCAAATACTAGCAGGGCCCCCGCCAATCGGACAGGCTCCCAGGCGCTGGACTTTTGCTGTCCCGCCACCGCTGCGATGGGCGCCTCTGCCAGCAAGGTGACGATGGCGCCTGTGTAGTGCATGTAACCGGAAGCATAGTACCACAGCCCTACCGCCGTGTCCGAGAACACGTTCACGTAGTACGTCTCGTACGTTCGCCTGGCGCACTGCAGCACGAACATGCCGGCGGCAGCGGACGCGGCCGCCGAGCTGTACGACGAATCGGTACGTCGGACCGGGTCCCACAGCCACCGTCGGCACCACGCTGCGGCCCATGGCCACGGGGTGCCCGCCGCATACTCATCTGACAGCGCCAGTGCCGCCATCACCGACAGGGCCAACGAGAACGCGTAAAAGTGCTTGTACCACCGCTTGGGCACGCTCAGCACGCCGGACGGTCTCGAGCCGCCCGTGATCTTGCCGTAAGCGTACAACCGGGCCACGGCGACCGGCAACCTAGTCCCGTCCATTGACTTGAGCACTAGCGGCACGGCCACGAACATGAACGTCATGCCGACGAACATGGCGTTTACGGCGTCCATCATGCGGCAGCGTGGATGTGACGGACTGCACGGATGTGACGGACTGCACGAAACCGCGGACGATATATGCGTGGGGGCGGCCACCCGGTTTTTCGCTTTTATATGAAACTCTGTTTTACCACTATCACTACCTCCTACTCTACGACCACCAAATACACTTACAATCCTTCTCGGCCATTTTCTCGTCCTCATTCTCACCCCCACCCGTCCCTTGTCGGGTTGATTGTTACGGCGGGCCTATTTTCGTTTGTGCCAAGGTCCCGCCGTACACTTATAACTACACGTGTCGGAATCTATTTTGTTCTGCTATTTATAAAAAATCATGTAATTACCACTTATTAATTATATAATTAGGTATGTGTATATGTATTACGCGTAGATTAAACTAGAATTAATTTGAGTTTTGAATTCACTTCAATAACCTATAGGTTATACGCTTGTGGCAGGATAAATGGGTTATTATGATATAACGACAATTTTTGTATTTTACAACGTAGGTAGCAGGTAAAACCGTAAAACTATAATATTTAATAAATGATTATTTTTAATATTTACACTTGCAATAAGGCGCCGGTTTAAAATTTTGCTGAACCCAAGTAATCCAAGAACTTTTTTTCAATGTTCATTTTAATAAACATAACGTATTATTGGGTTGGTTAGATCTAGATTGTAGACATTTTATGCACCAATTTCTCAGTTTTTCTCTTTTACGCTTATACCGCGAAACCGGGAAAACACCTTGTATATGTGGATTTAGTATTAATTCAATCGAACCATAACACTATTGTTGAGTTTATATAAATGATTTTATAATATAATATAGGTAGTTGGTTTCCCACATGCCATCGTTCCCATCGAACAAAAAGCGTTATTGTTCCTGTGAATCGTTCCCGTAGACGCCCTGTCGTCGACACAACAATTATAATATAGGAATGTGATGGGACTGACGAGTATGGGAATAATTATATACGCACCACAAGCGTGCATAATACCTAAGCATAATATTATAATGCGACGGCAGTGCACGACATGGCAATCGATCCAGCGGCGGCGGAAGTCGAGGGAAAATCAAATCGTCAAGTCAGTTGTGCGACAGCGACGACGACGACCTGTTTTAAGGAAATCCGTTTCCTCACCTCAGCTCGCGGTGTATTGTAATCATATAATATCTCGGCGTGTACCTACCTATTATATTATATTATATTATTATATAAGTAGGTACGTGTCTGACGATTAAATCATCGTCGTCGCGTGTCACACGCCGTCGTTTTCGCGATGACGATACCGACACAGGGCAGATTTTCAAACAATAAAAATGTTCTATTGCATTATAATAATATATTACACGTGTCGTACTGTGCAGCAGGTATATAAACTAAAAATAACAATGTGATTGTAGGGCGGCCGCCGCCGTCCATCTCGGACGGCAGTGAAAAACCCTGGCAAATAGCCCAAAATCGCCTAGTAATTTATCATTTCGTGTGTGTTTTTCGTTCTCCTCGGAGCATCCTATCCCTATAAACACACACACATTATATATATATATATATATATAATGTACATCTCTCTCTAGTTCGTTCGTTGCCACATCGCCACCATATATATATATATATATATAGGACATAGGTATACTCACGGTGGTCCCATACTAATTTCTTATTTTTGACACACGCTCTTCGCCTTACAACCTAAGTAAAATATAATATACCTTATATGTTTATATATGTTCTTCTCGTCATCCTGGCATACAAGTCGTCAGTGTGCCACGGAGCAGCGTGCGCGTGACTCGTTGCACGTGATTTTTTTACTGTTTATTTGTAACTATATTTAAAAAAAAAAAAATTCTTAAACGGACGCTGTCGTCGTCCGGTGTACCGGAAACTCGGAGCGTACAGCATCATTTAGACATTCCCCATTCTCCGCGAGCATAATTCTTTTTTTGTTGTTGTAATTTTCGTTTTTAATTCCGTCACCGCGTGCTGGATAGAAAACAAGGCCGAGTAGCGACGAAAAGCTGGCAATTAAATTATATAGAACCACTCGGTTTTTTTTTGTCCTATACGTATATAATATGTATATATATGGGTTTTTGCTCACGACGCGAAGGGTAATATTTTATTTTCGGCGGTCCAATTAGCGGCGCCGAATGAAACCGAGTGGATGTTTATTTTTTGTGTATTGCATCTGTCTCGGAAAAGCATAAAAAACGGAAACAAAAAATAATAATAGGAACGCAAATTAACGAAAACAAATACGTTATTATGTGGACCGTGTTTACTTGCCGGTCGCCGTTACACGCTTATTCACAATACGATGGCCAGTCTCGAGTTCTGCATTGTTTTTTCATGGTGGGGAGGGGAGGAAATGGATTGCAACAATGTCAACTCTACTATGTAGAAACTCCACCCGTACGGCGTGTACATAGTAATATTTATGTACCTATAATAAGGTACTTACCTAACTCTCATGACGTGTACACACTTATATGCTGGGTAATACAAAGACTTACCACGTCATAATATATATATAAGAGATTTTAACAGTTTCTCGCGTATTTCACGTGATTGGGATATTGTTATTTACCACACGGTAGAGTAATGCGTCTGAAATATTGTGCGGTAATCGGACGGAAACTGTGGGTGTATACTTTAAAAATAAAAGTGCAAATAGGATAAAATATTGTTTTTGCTATACAAGATTTGTATGCAATACACCAACCCCATCTTCCGGTTAAACGATGCGTGTCGGAGCGATGCTTCACGCATTTATTATTATTATTATTTATTGTATATGTTGTGTGGTGGTGTAAAGGCGCCGCGGCTATAGTATAACACAATATACTTCTTAGCGCGCTCACAACAATCACCCCCCCCCCCTCTACAATCCACACCCCTTCAAAGCCGATACAAAATAATATTAGATTATCGTATAGTATACGTCCGACGGTCGATGTATTTTTAATATATTGTTTGCAGCGCACTTAGCCGAAAACCTTTTTTTTTTGTTTTCATTTTTAAGTGCACTTGTAATAATGTTTTAATCATCATTTATTATTTTGTAAATAGTTTTTCAAGTAAAGCACATAGGATTCAGTTGATACGATATTATAATATTGATACGACACTGTAATATATTATTATATTGAGTGTACATAAATTAAATGTAATTAATATTTAATCCATGATATTATTACGCGATATAATCGAATGGCTGCCTTGAGTTTATTACAACGTATAATATAATATGTTTATAGTTGATTTTAGTTTTTTAGTTTTTTTACCCAAACCTTTACGTTGTTCATTAAGCGCATTATTAATGAGAACCCCGAGAACTCGTAGTATGCTATAGTGTTAAAAATAATAATCAATATTGCAGAACTCGGATAGTGGTGTGTTATAATAGTACCTATAAGTATATGGACTACGAGGTTGCTGGATTGGAAGAATTTTTATGTTTTTATTTTGAAACTCGCATCGAAACGTTAATTTTAAACGGTGTTATCCCGCCGCAGTTTTTATCTGTAATCTCATTATAAATGCGAAACGTTATTACGCCTTACCACTACAATTTTTTATTTAAGTTACCCAAGATTTACACTTTTTGTATTTTATTATTCTGCATCTGCAAATATGTATTTATATTATTAACATAATTTTTTTCATCTTAGTAGACGACTTTTAACTTTATTTACCCTGAATAAGTAGATCTTTATCGAGAAAAAGTTTAATTTGCATGCTTCAATCTTTAAGAGGAGAAGAGACATAATTTTTTAAACTTTGAATATATATATATATGTATTATGTATAGTGTTTTTCTTCGGGTGGAGTTATTTTATAATGAAAGTTTTTCGGTCGAGTTATTTTCAAGATATATTGTGTGTATTACAGTGTTTATTTATTCCATTAAAAAGACATTTTAATTTTCCCGAACTTTCTGAAGTCTTTCTGTGGTAAACTACTTTAAACAATTATTCGTCCACTGCCAATTATAAACAATTGTCATTTAAAAATAGATATTTCTTTTTGACAGCAATATTAATTTATATAATACTATGTCATTAGAAACATTTATACTTCTATCAACAAACCACCCAATTAAAATATAATTATAAATGTAAATGTATAATAGATGTATATTATTCACTCTATTACTCCACAATTCTTTCATTACGCAATATAATTATATTTTTGTTTTGCTACTGAATATTCAATACACATTTTCGAGGAAATTATAATTATTATAAATCATTTTGGATAATTTTCCTCTTTTGTACCATAACAACACATATACCTTCATGTTTTACTACTATACACTGAATATTTACATTCAATCGTCAAATCAATATTTTATATTTTTAATGATGAAAATTTTTTTTATTTTTTTTTTATCAATATTACTTTAAACTTATACATTTTGCGTAGTCATGCTTTTATGCTTTGTCATCTCTAAGTCAGTAATTTTCTTTCAATTTATTTTCCGTGTTAATGATTGTTTGATCTGTGACAGACCACGGTAAATCACCACCGCGTTCCAGTTCCAGTGGAATCGCAAAATTGCCAATGGGATTAATTGTTTCGTTCGTATTATTGTTTATTATATTGTTGATAACAAGGAAAAATGTTCCTCATACTCAAAACCGATTACAACCCAATAGATACAAACCCTTATTCACAATATATTAAGTATTACCTTCCGTTAAATAATAATTGATAAACCACGGTAAAAAGTATAATTTCGAAAAACCAGAAAAACAACATTTATTTTTAAAAATATGTTTCGTGTACACGCGAAAATACATTTTGGTAACCATAATATAATTACTACGATATGTATCTATGCTGTTTGTATAAAAATAAAAATAAAAATAAAAATGTATTATTATTGTTTTCAGTTGTCGGAGTTGGAAAAACGTGTGCTGGAAGCGGAAACGAGAGCCGTGGAAGCGGAAGGAAAAGTGAGTTGCGCAGTCAAACTTGATTAATCTAATAAACAGACAAAGTGTTTAACTCTGTTATCGATGTATATTATATACCTAACTTAACTTGTATATTATTATATATGTTGCATTATCAAACGAATTCGATTTAAAAGTAAACGCATAAACTGTTCACGCGTTATATTGGATATTGAATATTTAAACACGTGGGTGGTGGGTGTTTAGATTTCCGAATTTTCTACTACCGAACACCATCATCGTGTTCATACTTATTATAGGTGATATAATATAAAT